CTATCGCCTACTAAACTTCTAGCCTTACCCGTCAGCCTGGTTTTGACATAAGCAACGGCATTACCTTCATGCGTCTCAACGTTTGCCTTAAGAAGCGTGAGTGCATCAAGAAATGACGTCAACTTATCTGCAGAACCATCAAACTCGTTTGGTACGATTTTGCTCGCAAAATTGAAAAATTCTAAAGTTGTCATAGGCATGGTGGCTGGAGAGTTGATTTCAGTTTTTAACTTTAATTGCTCTTGTTGATTGTCAAGATCGTCGTCGTCGTTCGTTGCTAAATCAATTGTTAAAAGCTCGTCTATAATGTCAGGGTCAATTTGCTTCAAAATCGAGACAGGGATTTTATAGTCAACGCGAAGAACTTGGTACGATCTAACAACTCTATCTCTACAAGTAGTAAATAAAGCTTTGACGGTTTTATGTTGGTTGTCATTCAAATTGTTATAAAAAGTTGCTACTGTTGAAGTAAAATTATTATATAGTGTTAGTAAATTATCTCTTACTTGGCTTCTTATACTTTCTGATTGAGGTACCTTTGTTTTTAAAACTCTTTTTGATTCTTCAATAATTTCTTCTTTTAGGCTTGATAGCTTGGTTAAAACGTCCTCAAATGTTAATTTTACATTGGACATAAATAGAAATTAAGGTTTACTCATATAAATAATAACATATTAAACTCCTTTATAGTAACATTCATTAATGCGATTTTAAAATTCAACTATACCTACAAAAATTATAAAATAATCAATTTTAAATGTAAAACTGACTTACATAATATCTAAAACCTTTATTAAATGTAATAGTATTTAATATAAGTTAATGTCCCATATTATTGTTTCGCGAAATTGATACTGTAATTACGCTGTGAAAAACGGCCTTGGGAAAAATGTCTGTATCAGTGTTTCCCGTTTCCATGACACACAGGTACTTAGGTACATACCAAGAAAGTTCATTAACTCAATTTTTAATGGTGTATTATGTGTCGAAACCAAGCATCCAGATTAACACAACATTAATGTACATACCAAAGGATCAGCTATTTTGGTATACTTAGCTGGGTCCTTAAATATCCTCTGCTCTTCCTTGGGTTCTTAGGGATGATTTAAAGTACAAACTTCTGCTAATGTCATTTTTTAAACTTCTCCGATACAACTTCCGAATGCTTATTATTGTGAGAATCAATACGCATACTGCAATTATGTAGAAAACGGCCCGAATGTCGTGCGGAACTCCTAACTTGTCATTCTCAACAATAAAGTTTGAGTTGACCACTCCCGAACTGGTCACGTCACTTTGTTTAGAGACCGATTTACCCATTTTCGCGCTCTTTTCGTATTTATTAGCTACCGGCACCGTCGCTGCTACTATTTATTGAACTTTTCGAGCGAAGAAAAAAAAATTCTAACTTTGGGCACTGGCAGGATCGCCATGTAGAAAGTGCGGTGAATCGGCGTGGTTAAATAATACTCTTCATGGTTCGGAATAGACTGATTTATTATATTTGATAAACATGATGGACACGAGTATAACAATTTATTATTATTGTTACAATAACGCATATGACCTAGATTTAGATGCTATGTCAATGAAATATATAAACCACATTTGGTGGCCTTACATACCCAATGTGCGGTTTTTGAAGCAAACAAAGAGAGATAAATTTATATGATCTCGCATAAGTCTATCTTTGTCAAACGAAGGAGAACGAGGTTATGAACTGCGCTTGCGTTAAACTCTAGATTCTTATTGGCCGGCGGTTGCCATTTTGCATCAAGCTTTTCGTGCCGTGTTGTCATGTCAAGCTAAAAAGTACAATGAATTAGGATCATTTTTTCAGGTTATAATTTGGTCGATTGTATTTTGATTCCTAAACACTAATAAAAATTAATATATTGGTTTATTTGTCGAAATCGAGTAGGTATGTGTTACACGCACTAAAATACAAAATTCGTCATGTTTCTTGTGAATGTTTAAATAACCCGAAGATGGAAATAATTTTATTGGCAATCCAATCTCAGCTGTTTAAAATGAAATCTTATTGGAGGAATAACTTCAAATTGACGCATGCGCATCGGAAAAACAAGTTCACTTTAGACAAAGAAGGCATCGTTCTATCTCATAATGTTTGCTTCAAGAACTCAAACCAACCCGCGATATACGTAGTATAATAAATATATGGTTTTTGTTGTTTTTAGATTTTCGTCGATTCGAGGTTATGTTGTCAGGGTCTTCTGATTCTGTCGATCTTGACTTGGCTTTAGCTCTCAACTCTTTTTTCCCCGAAGATGATTTTCGGACGGATACATTTTTATTTAATTCTTCCTCTTCCTCGCTGGATGAGCTTTAGCCACTGCCGCTTTCACTACTAACCTCACTTTTCCCCATGCAATTTTTGCATTTCCAATTGTGGTTTTTCTTTTAAAGGGTATCTTCCAACTGATTTTCCGATAGACCAGTGCACTGTTCGTGAAAATAGTTACTACAAACATCGCTGCATTTTAAACTAACTGAATTTTTAGTCACATTTCTCTTACATTTTTGACAAACGTACTTCTTTGCGCGCGCCATCTTGATTTTGATAATTAGATTTCCTTCGAGGTGTTCTAGGAATGTCTAACTAACAAAAATGTCACTATAATGTCAGTATCACGGATTTTTTTGAATATACCCGAACAAATTTCCAAAATCAGTACAAAACACGTGTCCTGGAATGTTTGTTCGAAGCGATTATTGAATCCACAGATGTGAAAGAAAACTGAATTTTATATTTTTACGCGCACTGAATGTCTATAAAATGTTCAGTTGAAACATCTTTTTATGCTAATTTCACATGTAGGGCCCGAGTTGGAGCGCCACTTATAACATGAGAGGTTTCAAATTACACAAACACTCTCGTTATCAGAATTTATTAACTTTGGAATTCGTTTTACATTGAAAATTAGGACAAAAACTGAAACACTACCAAAAATGATCCGGTGACAGATCACTGTTATTTTCCACACTATAGAAATTATTTTGTTTCCTTTTTGTTTTTAGGCGCAGAGCGACGTGACGGGGAATAGTTTTTCTGATCTAGGTTGGTTATAAAGGATGTGTTTCAGTAACCAGTTTTCGCTGCGGACCCATTAAAGCTCAAAACCTGACCCTTTGTAAATTATTTAATAAGTTAACCAGATAATAAATAGGTATTCGACCATTCAAGATCCAAAACCATAATAATACGACCATTGAAGGTCCAGAAATTATTCAGTAATGACCAGTAATGTAATTATTAAGGGTTCTGAATGAGAAGTATCCGACCATTAAAGATACAAAAATTGATCCACTATGGGTCGTTGCCTTTGTGAGAATATTTTTCTTCTTTGATCTCTCTATTTGAAATATCTCTCATAATTTGTCAATGGCCAAGAAGTTGATACCCTTAACAACAATGGCAGTCAAAAACGTCCTTCAATTAAACTCACTACGCCCTAAATTAAATAAGTAATAATTTCCGACAGCTGAAAATAGCACCCCGAATCCAGCTTTTATTTTCGCCTCCACCAGATAGTAATTAGCCTGGTCTAACAAGCAGGACAGAAGAAGAAGAGAAAAGAATTTCAATTAAGGTTCACTGTCGACCGACTCCAATTTAAACTAATTGGAAATTTCAGTTTTGAAATACAGGAGAAAAATTAATTTCGCCTTACTCTATAGGAATTATTTTGCAACAGGCATAGAATTTTACCGGATAGATGAATGATAGGATTTTCATTAACTCTTCAGAAAGGGGAGCATTTTTCAATTATCAGAAAAGAGGACTGCAACATTTATATTCCAGAAACAAGCAAAATCCATTCTGTCATTCAGAATTTCAAATTACCGCAAAAATTAAATTATGGAGCCCACGCACAACTATGCCGTTGAAGTGAAGTGAATCACCCCTCTCTAAATGGCAAACACGTCTAGAATTTTAATGAGATCTTTAGATTAACATAGTTATATAGTACTTTGAGTGTTAAAGTTTTTAAGGATTTTTTGGCTGAAAGGGCAATTTTTAAATGCATGAAAAACCCTTTTAGAATAAAAGTCCCATTAGACCATGGAAGTACAAAGCATATTTACCTTAAATTTTAAACTTAAATTGCCTCTAACTTTGTCCAAGTGGTAATTTAAATTTCGTGCTCAGGTTTTCGCGTTTGGCCCGTAATACGAGCGCTTAAATGCGGCGAAGCTTTAAATGTTTGTAGAACGTGAGTTCAATTCGATGAGAATAATTAATTAACAAAAAATGTTAATTAGGTATATCCAATATGATAATATATTAATGAGAAATAAATGCTTTTTAGTTGTAAAAAGCATGTAATATGTAATATTTCTATCCGCCATCACCGTTATTTAGAATTTTTTTTAAAAAATACATGTTTGAAAGTACATATGGAAAAAAGGGGCAAGTTTAGTATATTTTGCCAGGTATTGAATCGAACTCCGCATCGGTATGAAGGAATTTCAGTCGACCCCATTAAAATAACGATTCGAGTCGACATAATCACTAATCAGCTCTTTCAAAACCAAAGAATGTGATCCCGGAACGAAAGAAATTGAGAGAATGCAATCTAAAGAAGTGTATATCATATCCAGTCTCATTGTCAGTAATTTTAATAAAATTATAATCGTATCTCACTAAATTGGGAATACATTTCTATGTTAGTTAAATTTTAATTGCTGAAGCAATTTAATTGACCTGCAAACTGCACCCACGTGTATAATCCATAATAATCGGATGCAAATTTGCCACGTGTCTGGCGCAAATGTTCTCCCCGCTACCGCAGGAGTTGCCTCAGATAATTCGAACATTGTTTCGAAAGCATAAATCCAATCATAATTCAAAATTGATAGCTATTTGCTGTATAAATTATGGCGAAGTTGGAGTTTCTAAGCTCATTAAAATACGCAGACACGTGCTTAGGGAGAAGCTTCTGAAATAGATTATTGAAGTATCGAGATAATTCACTTACCACTCCTGTATTAGGATCTTTAGCTCCATTACTGAAAGTACTGGCCAAAGTGCTGGAACAACTCTCGTCATAGTGCGCGTTTTGGCCGTCATTGATAGCGCTGTTGATGCTCACTGTCCACATACTGGCAGCGTATCCGTCGCAGTTGCAATCGTCGTCTTCGCCGCCGTCTCCGCTGGCCCAGACGTAGATGTTACCTAGGCCGTTTCTACCCTGAAATAAATAGAGTTGTTTTTTAAGAGTATGCTCAGGGCCGATTTTTATCTGCAGTATTTATTGCTTGAGTACAATGGGTTTTTGTTAAAATTTATTCAGGTTAGTAAAAATAAACATAATAGTCGAGCTAAATTTAAGGCGAAATGCTTTGGAGATAACTTACATTGTTGGGAGATGGAAGACAAAGCGAAATGTTGAAAAGTGGCGACGGTGAATGGAAACTCGCTCCTACAAACGAGGTTTTAAGGTGGATTTTGGCCCGCTTACTTTGACTGATTGTCAAGAGATCCTTAATTATGGCGTAGTTTTTGAAGATTTAATTTTCGTTGGAAATATTACCTAATTGTTATATCTGGACTGTTAATCAAGTACTTATGTTAAAGACGCAGTTTTTTTTTTTCAAATTTATTTATTTTATTTCAATTTCTGTTACTTAACATAACCATTAGGTGGTACAGTAATATATATATAACATAACATAATACAAAATTATGAGAGTATTTCATGACTTATCGTCAATATAATGGGTTTTAGCTAATGTCATTACCACAATTTAAAATCTATAATCCAGCTATTGCATATTTTCTCATTATCAGAACCGTCTCTGCCGAATTTTCGCCAGTTGAAATATAATATGAACATTTTGGTCTCCGATATTTGAAATATAAATAATTAGCGTTACCCGTCCCTGCTTCAACAACAATTTCCCTCCTGGGAATAAAAAAAGATTTCCATATTATTATAGTTTAAATTTCATTAATTATTTTAATGATTTAACAACATTTTTGAACTTGAACATGAATTACACATGAATTATATTTTTCGTTCAGTAAATTTTGTTTTTAAAAACTATTTATTTTATCGAAAACTAAGAAGTTACAACAAAAAATACTAGACTCTTAATTGCTGCGGCAAAAGCTGGGAACAGAGGAATCTTTGATTCTAATTGCTGTAGTCTAAGCTAAGAACAAGAGAATGAGCTGAAAGGCTCCGCGCGCCGTATTTATATTAAAATACTTGCTTGCATTTATGTGGGCGAAACCTTGATATTGTTAAGATTTCCGTTTTATGATACACTAAAATCCGAGCTAAAATCATATATTAATATATTATATAGTTTTGTAATTGTTCATTTTATATAGGCATAGATTAGGTATAGATTACCTGGATTGCGACACCAGAAAAAAAATGTTAGAAGTTTGACTCACAGAACATATCCCTTATAGAAAAATTTCTCAAATGGGAAAATCGCGACGAAGGTTTTTAGTTAGGTTTTTAGTCAACGATGGCGACACTGTCGGGAGATAAGAGAAATTTGCAGATATCTGTGGTGTGGACAGTGATTTGTGTTGTTTGATATTGTCATTTATTTTGTCATTTTGAAATTGAAAGTTTTGATTTTTGAATTGTGTTGTTGTACCTATCCCACGGTCCCCACGCGCGTCAGATAAGAGCCAGCGCGCCATCTTTTGGGCTTTATGACATACATTAAATATTTTTAAATCACAGGTGTTCAAATTCTCTGTAAGTGATTGACTTATTTACAAGTAGATGGCGGCATCTTCAATATCAATTCGTTTACACAGTAATTTACAGTGAACTAATAAATTAATTCAGATGCAAATGAAATAATAGTATTTCACATTTTTAGTTAGTTTTTACCAGCGTTTGAAAGAAGTGACTACCCTTCCCGAAGTCAGCGACATCTTTAAGAGAAGCGCTGAACACACGTTTGGTTTGAGTCTCTGCTGAAAATGACAGCAAGCACCTGCCTGTTTGGCACTTTTGGCAGATTTTGATTAATTTTGGAATAAAAACATCATAAATTTTCGGCAATTCTGTTCTATTCATTTATTCCAACAATTGACGACCCGAAATTTTGGAAATTTATTGTTGGTGTGCTACTCTAAGTGTTTATCCCTTTTTCATTTAAATCTGTTACCAAAATGTGCATACTGTTGTCAACAAAATTAGTAATAATTTTAATATTGCAACCAAAAATACTTCGACCCATACTCTAATCTATTATTGTTATGATCATAACTTCATTTCACTAAAAAGTGAAGAAATTTGTGAAGGTCTGTAACTGACATTTCATTTAAACGCCCCTCTTAAAGTGAAAATTTAAAAAATTCTGGTTGGAAAAAAACTTAATTTTTGTTCGTATTTTTTTGTATTTATTCGTTTGTATCGTTCCGTTCGTATTTGTATTTATTATTCGTATTTACTCTGGATCTACCTATAGCTGCGTGTCACTGGCTAACTCTTTAAACTCTTTTTGCACTATGTTCGACATTGGAAACTTCCTGCCAGTCACAGTTTTCAAGAAAATGAGGCGAAAAGAGCTAAAAGGAGTCAGCAAGCCAAATGCAGTTGAACATTAAAAATTATTTAGAAATAATACAAATATATAAAAAAAATCGATTCGCCCTTTTGTCAAGAATGCTCGATTAGTTGGGTTTCAAGTCAACGATGGCGCTGTAATCCATAACCGGTAGGTAACATTGCAGATACTTTTCCAGAGGTGGTATGTTCTGTGGTTTGACTTTTTAGTAAATGTTGTCAATTCAATCCTAAAAGTTGAATCAATAAATTATTGAGAAGTATTGGAGTTTCAGTGGTTTTCCTTGAAATATTACATGAGGTTATGGGCTCAGAATACGGGGAATGGTGTGCATATGCGGTAGAGCATAAATAAATTTGAAAAAAAAGCCGATTCACAAGTTTTTGAAAGGTGCCCACAGAAAAAATATTGTAAAATGGACAAAAAAATAAGTAGTATAGAACCATTGAATGGAAATAATAATTATCACACGTGGAAATTTAGGGTTGAATTAATATTAGCAGAATATGATGTATTAGCTTTTGTAGAAAATGAGGTAGCCCTAGAAGATAACGCAGCGAAGAAAAAAGATAACAAAGCGAAATCACTTTTGGTTCAGTGCATAGAAGATTCAGAAATAGAAAGTTTACGTGAATGTAAAACTGCCTACCAAATGTGGAAAGTACTGGGAAATAAATACGAAAAGAAGGGATTACCAGGACAGTTGTTTTTGAAAAGGAAACTACTGAGCATAAGGCTGAAAGAAAATGGATGTCCAGTCAAGTTTATTGAGAAATTTCATAGTATAGTAAGACAAATAAAATCAGCAAACATGAAAATTACAGATGAAGTTTAATATGTAATTTTCTTTCAAGTTTACCTAGTTCATATAATATCCGTTCACAATCCGATGTCCACAGGTAGGAACAGGTAAAATCACCTTTCAATGCTATTTAATAGGGAAAGGTGATAAATTTACCTGCACTTGTGGACATCGGATTGTGAACAGGATATACATTCGTTGCAGTGGTAGAAAATTTACCAGGTGTGATTTTCGAAATTGTAAAAAATAAATTCTTTGCAGAAAATGAAAAGACAGATAGGTTTACAAAGTGAGAGAAAGAGTATAAAAGAAAATGAGAAGGCGACTCCAACAGCTTTCATGTTACAACGTAGCTGTTTTAAATGTGGAAAAATGAGGCATTACAAAAGGGAATGTCCTGAAAATGAAGGTACAAATCATGAATATGCTGATAGAGGCAGATACAGAGGATAGTCTCGAGGAAGTCGAGGTGGCTCGTTTAGAGGAAATCGAGGAAGTTTCATGAGAGGTAACAATAGTGGTTTTAGAGGACAGTGCCGAGGAACTCAAGGTAGGTGAAGTTTTAAATTTTTTTATCGAAGTAATTATGCTTATAATGAGCGAAATGTTAATTCAAATTATTCAAATTTCCAAAATGATTCAGATAATAACAATTCGGGTAACAATGCTTTTACTCAAAATGTTGTTAGGGAAAATAATGATAAAATTTTTTGTTTTATGAGTGGAAAAATTATTCAAACTGATGTACAAACAAATTATAATTATAAACGCACAGGTTTAAATGATTTAATATTTTATATTGATTCGGGCTGTACTGATCACATGGTCAACAAGGAAGAATATTTTTCAAATTTATGCATGTTAGAAAATCCAATAAAAGTTGCAATAGCAAAAGATTCAAGTTTCTTGTTGGCTGTGGGTGTTGGAAATATTGAGGTTTATAGTCATGTTCAAAATAAGAGGATAAAATGTACTATTCAATATGTATTCTACATACCTGAGCTAAGAAAAACCTACTTTCTGTCAAAAAATTAAAAATTTCGAACATCAAAGTATTGTTTGAAAAAGGGCAGGTTAAATTAATAGATAGTAGAGAAGAGATTTTAGGGATCGGTAATAGGGATAATCTATATGAGATAAAATTTGAACTCGCTTCACCTGGATGCTTCAATATTGAAAGTTATGATAGTGAATATATAAAATGGCACAAGAGATATGCCCATATAGGTTTTAGCGGTTTAAAACAAATTATTAGGACTGATATGGTTAAAGGTATTGCTAAAAATTTGAAAATTCATGACGTAAGCTTTTGTGAGCCTTGTATCAAAGGAAAAATTACGAGAATTCCTTTTGTCACTCGTACAAAAAGTACTAGAATTCTTGAAATTGTACATTCAGATTTATGTGGACCTATTACTCCTGTATCTATAGATGGTGGTATTTTCTAACATTTATAGATGATTTTTCAAATTTTTCAATCGTATTTATTTTTAAAACTAAATCTGAAACGTACGACAGGTTTGTTGAGTATTTACAAATGGTGGAAACTAAATTTGCTTGCAAAATTCATAAATTGAGATGTGATAATGGTGGGGAATACATTTCTAAAGATATTACTAAATTATGTCATGAAAAGGGAATGATTATTGATTATATAGTACCATATTCGCCTCAACAAATCGGTAAAAGGCAGAACGCAAGAACAGAAGCTTGGTGGAGCGTAATAGAACAATATTGGAAGAGGCAGGTATGTCTAAAAGTTTTTTGGAGTGAGGCAGTTAGAACCGCAAATTATGTTATGAACAGAGGAATTTCTTCAAATTTAAATGTTACTCTCGCAGAAATTTGGTA